CAATTTTGTATTGAACTTTTAGTAGAATGTGTAGAAAAATGAGAATTGAGAAGGTGGCACTTGGGGAAGATGATCAGGGAGTGCCCTTATAAAAGAGATAAGTACCCTTATAAAAGAGACCCCAAACAGCTCTCTTGCCCCTTGTACCATGTGAGGATGCAGTGAGAAGATGATCATCATCTCTGAACCAAGAACATGCCCTCACCAAACACCCAATCTGCTGGCATCTCAAATTTGGACTTCCCAGCTTCCAGAACAGTGAGCAATAAATTTCTCTATCCAAGCCACCCAGTGAGGGTACTTGGTTATAGTAGTCTTGGCAAATTAATAGCCAGTTTACGGTATTTTCATTATAGAGCACTCAAATCTGAAATTATAAAATTTATTTTTAACCTATCACCTGTCTCCCCATACTAGAATGAGAGTTCAGTAAGACTTCACCTTTTTAATTGACCTCGGTTTGTTTCTCTTGTATCCAGGAAATTATTAACAATTGGAATCTGCTCAATAAATATCTATACGTAACAAATTAATTTCTCTGAGAAATGAAAAAAGAGAGAATTTTCTTTGAGAGGCATGGAAAAACCCAGAAGGCAATTCTGCTGAACAATGGAAGAGGATTCTACCTGACTGTCCCTGTCTTCAGGGGGCAAATATTAGGCTCTTGAAAAGCTAAAAATTTTGTATAAGGGCAAGAGTGGGGCACAGAAGACTGGCTCAGGAGCAGATGAGAGAGGCTTGTCCACACCACATAGCACAGATGCAGATGTGTTGTTAGCACTATGTGAAAGAGAAAGTTGGAATGAGAGCAAGGATTGAAGGTTGAAATGCTTTAACATTCTTTTGGATAGCAAGCCAAATTCTCATGAGGATAAATGTACGAAGAGAATGCTTAGGAGTGTCTGAAATAATATATATCAGGTTATCCTGCTATGTGCATTGTGAGTCACAAGAGGGAACTGAAACTCACTGTGGCCCTCCCCAAATATAGGGAACAATTTAGGGCTATTCAAAATGATTAGGATTGGCAACTCTGACACCAGAATAAATGGTTAGTCGCTTTTTATTTTTTTTCTTCTTCTTCTTTTGCCATTTTAAAAAAGTATAGTTTAATGGCCATTATTGTTTTACTCATGTTAGGTTTATCATTATTACAGTTAACCTCACGTTTACTTTGGCTAGTATCCCTCTGAAAATCTGACATTTCAGTTGGTTTGGATTTGCCTTTTTGGTTGTGCTCCATTAATAACTTAAATTTTAATAGTGCTTTTTATCTTACAAAGAATTCATGTTAAAATTTTTACCCTTAAACAGCTCTGAGAGATAGGCAGATATTATTTCTACCTTAGAGGTGAGGAAACTGAGGCACAGTAAATATAAAGGACTTGCCCAAGGCTACAGGCATGAAGAATGGCAGAGCTAAAACTATACTCAAATGCAAGTCTTTTGATTTCTACAATGCGTTTCCTATATAACATGGCAGCCACCACTAAGCCAGCCTGTATGGCAAACGTCCAGTGTCTACACACATTAGATGTATTTTTATCTTCATGTATACACATACTCCCCAGTTGTCAAATAGAAATTAAGGGGGAAAAATCAAGGAGAACTCACAATAGTGTTGTGTGCTGCATTCTCAGGAAAAAAAGAAGCAAGAACACCCACTACCACCATTTCCTCCCAGCAAGAATTCTGAGGTCCCTTTTTCCACCAGGTGTTTGTATAGTATTACACAAATCTGATGTTCTTTGAGTGATTTGAGAGAGCCACCACGCCGCTTTGACCACCGAAAACATCCTCAGGGACAGGAGGGAAATTAGTAGGGATAAGTCAAGCAGTAAATTCTAACCAGGGCCCCTATATAAATATTCAAGTTAAAACTGAACAAAGTTTATTTAAATAAAGAGCCAGAGAAATGGCAGATGGCAGACCTAAGGAGTTGGTTTCAGGGAGAGAAAAGCCAAGCCTCTGACAGGAAGTAATGGAAGGAAAGCAGGATCCTACTGGGTCTTTGGTATTCAACTGGTCTTCCAGGCATTCTGCCTCCTTCCAGTTTTCCAGTACTTCACTAGATTGTCCTGGTTTGAAGATTATTAACTATAATCCAACACTAATCCAACACGTTCACTGAATTGAGGGAAGAGTGAAGGGTCAAGTGTGCCAGCTTATTATTTAAAAAAAATCACCACAAGTTTAAGATTTGGTAATTGAATTCATGCATCCCCAAAGGCAGAATTAGGTCCCTGCTCATACATTACCAGGCATTACCACACATTTCCGGTGTGGAATAACACTTTCAGCTCTCTAAAGAATACCTTAGAGAAACTGAATGTTAGAGCTAGACAGGATCCAAAAGAAAAACTAAGCTCTACTTTTAGTAAATGGAGAACTTGAAGAGATTTTTGTTTAGATACACATAACTAGACAAGAAATAAGGTCTCAGTACTGAATTGAGTGGAAAAAGAAAGAAACAGTTGTATGTATAATACTCTTTAATTTGAGTTTTAAATGGATGTATATTATATTGCCTATTCATAGATTATCTCTGAAAAACTATGTGGAAATAATAAGAAAAACTATTGCTTCCAAGAGAAGGGATTTGAAAGAACAGAAGTAGAAGGGAAATTTGTTTTTTTTTCCGAGAATGTTCTTTGAATAATCACTAATATTGAATACACCTGACACCCCTGCTAAAATAATATAAGTTCCATGAGAGTAGGGCTCACTGGGCATATTATAATCATTTTTACAATCCCTGGGTGGGCCTAGCATTGTTTCTGGTAAGAATTCAACAAATTATTGTTGCGTACTTAAGGGCAGATTTTCTCTTTCCACCTAAAATAAATTTGGCTATTAATGAGTATAAATCAATATTAATTTGTGCTTTTTTTTCCCAAATGTTTTATAACAATCATTCTTAGAGGAACAGAAAATAACAGTTTTCTATCTGCTCTCATTTTACCGGTGTGTATATATATGTGTGTGTGTGTGTGTGTGTGTGTGTGTGTGTGTGTGTGTGTGTGTATATATATATATATATATAATTCAGAGTATGCTTGAAATAAAACAGTTCTTAAAAATATTCTAATTTATGAAATTAAGAAAGTTTTATAAATCATACTGTTGACAAATGTTTCTTCATTATTTCCCCGAAGGAGAAAAAAAATGATTAGTTAGTATATTTAGAAAAACTGGAAAGCAGTGAATTTTGTGGTAGGGATTCATATTGAATATTTTCTTAGGTGCTTTTTATTAACCAATCCTTCTGCAGCTTGTTCACACTCTTGGCATTACCCTTGAATAGGATGTCGCAAATTCAACGCACATTTTCTAAGAAGTGGGAAACTATGATCCAGAATTAAGTAAGGCAGAAGTAAAGAAAACAAACTCCCATGAAAATGGAAATTAAATTACATATAGAGAGTTTTTTCAAAGTGTTCTGGAAGATTGTGAAAAATATGCCATCTCTCTCTCTCTCTCTCTCCCCCCCCCCCAGCATTATGATGAGACTCCACTAGGATTCCAATTTTCATAAAGTCCCTTAATAAAGTACGAGAATACCGCCGGTGTAGGACCATGAGGGTACCACGGGTTGGGGGTGGGGCGGGATAACGGAGCAGATCCCAGGGTGCGTCGCGCTTGCCCCCTAGTGTGCATTTCCTTGTACTGCATCTCCCTGGGCTGTTCGCTCTTCAACCTAGAGTGAATCTAAACCGAGGTCTTCTCAAGCTGGTTTTTATAAACAGTCAAACTTCGTTTGTATTTTTCCTGTTAACTGCTAATTAGTAAAGAGTACTGTTAAAGGACTTAGAAAGAGTTTGTCTTGTTAATAGTCAAACATCTCCCTCTTATTTATGTAATGGATTTGCTTTGCAAACTCCTTTATTTCATAAAAGTGCAAAGATAAAATTTAATGGACTCTAAATCCAATTAACCAAATTCTAAACTAATGACTTCATAGTATTTAAATCGAAAAAAGAAATGTTCATAGTCGTAATTGTGATTTTTTTTAAAATGACATTTCAGGGCTATTACATGGAACATCTTTTCTCCAACTCAGAAGACCTCTGCAGGTTTTGGTAGTGTTTGCTTTTACATTTGTTTTACATTTACATTCATAGTTATGTTTATTTGTGACTAAATAAAAGCATACAAAAAGCATCTATCAGGTGAAAAATCTCTGTCCCTGGCATAAAGCCTATAAATTCTTAACTATTTCCAGTTAGGAAAGAATTCTGGCACTTATTAACAGAGTATAAATGCCACCAAATTTGCAGAATCTAGCCTCTTAGGATTAGGTTTTGGGCAACTGAAGAACACCCCAATACAAGTGGAATGAAGAAGATAAAACATTATTTCTCTATTGGGTAAACAAATTGTAAATTCAGGGGTTGGCATGGTGCCTCCACATTCATCCAAGGCTAAAGTTGCTTCAAACTTGTTGCTTTACCAAGCTCAGTGCATACCAACCAACCTCTTGTCCCAGGTGCCTGATCCACACCAGGCAACATATCAGCATTCCAACAACAAAAGGAAGAAAAGGAAGAACATGCTCATTTCCTATTAGGATTCTTCTTGGAAGTTGCACTGATTGTAACTACTCCCAGTCTGCCAGGACTTTGTCACAAGAACACACACCTAACTGAAATGTCTTCATTAAGGACTGCTGCTCTATTCACAGCTGAAAATCAGGGCTTTCAATACTAGGTAAAAAGTGGGGGCAGAATTGATATTTGGAGACCAGAAGTCTCTGCCATAGCCTCTGTTCTCACCAGTTATCTTCTTTTGACAGAACTCACACTTCCGGTTTTTATTTTGGTTTGTTTGGGTTTTTTTTTTTTTTCCTGTTAAAAAGTAGATCTTTATTCCACCTGCCTTCCATTCATTAAGCTCTGATGTTAAAGACTTTACTTCCCCTGATTCTTCCCCATTCTTTCTCTAGGCAAATGGCAGTGCCTTGGCCTGCGGGTTTTCACCATGTTGGTGCATTCCTTCCACAGGTGATGGCTGTGCCACCTGGGCCTCTGCAGCTGCTGGGAGTGCTGCTCACCATTTCCCTAAGCTCCATCAGGCTCATTCAGGCTGGTGCCTACTATGGGATCAAGCCACTGCCACCTCAAATTCCTCCTCAGATGCCACCACAAATTCCACAATACCAGCCCCTGGGCCAGCAAGTACCTCACATGCCTTTGGGCAAAGATGGCCTTGGCATGGGCAAGGAGATGCCCCATTTGCAATATGGCAAAGAGTATCCACACCTACCCCAGTATATGAAGGAGATTCAACCGGTGCCAAGAATGGGCAAGGAAGCAGTACCCAAGAAAGGCAAAGGTAATCTCACACTGGTATGCTGTCATCAAACCACAGATTCCCAACTTCTTAAATGATGGAGGGGGATAGAAGATGAATTTTTAAAACTTTTATTTTAGGAACTGACATTTATTAAATTCCTACTTTGTTCCAAACTCTATTCTTGAAAAATTCAAGTCTTAAAGAAAGATTCATGGGTTTGATCACCAGCACCACACACACAACTTAAAAAAAAAGATAAAATTACAATTTTATGTTTGATTTTGTTATTTTAACTAGCATTAGATGAATCAAAATATATTTAATCACAAATACTCTATCCCCTTATTTATTTATTTATTTTTTATTTATTCAAACGTTCATCAATTAGGACTGGGAATGTGGCTCAGGTAGAACACTTACCTGGCATGCATGAAGCCCTGGATTCAATTCTTAGCACCCTCCAAAATTAAAAATAATTTAAAACAACAACAACAACAAAAAAAAAAATCCAGCAACTATTCAGGGAGAATCCATTTTTGTGTCAGGCTATGGGCCTGATGTTACAGGATAAAGCAGTAGAGGGGAAAAAAAGAAAGAAAGAAAAAAAGAAAAGAAACAAGTCACTCTTCTGAACTAGGGGAACAGTGTTGTAAGGACCAAATGTGTTAAGAGAAAAACCACATGAAAGCATCTTGCAAACTAGGTGTTAGATAAATGCAAGTGGCTTTAACACTGCTTTAATAAAGCTATAAATGTCAATCAATAAATCAGCAAAAGGTGATTAAAGAGTGCAGACTACATCTAGATGATACCTGAAGATTTGTCCCCATTACTTTCTGGGCATATTTATTAGTTGTTGAACATCTAAAAATGCCTATCACTATGATAGATGTTTTCTTATGTTTGGTCGGTTTATCTAGAGTTCTCAGAAATGCAGTATTGGTCTAAACTATGGAATCAACCTAGGTGTTCTTCAACAGATAAATGCATAAAGAAATCGTGGTATATATACACAATGGAATATTACTTAGCCTTAAAGAAGAGTGGAATTATGGCATTTGCCGGTAAATGGGCAGAACTAGAGAATATCATGCTAAGTGCAGTACGCCAATCCCAAAGAACCAAAGTCCAAATGTTTTTGGTGACATGCAGATGCTAATTCATGATAAGGATGTGGTGGGCTAGGGAAAAATAGAGGTACTTTGGATTTGACAGAGAGAAGTGAAGGAAGGGGAGGGGTTTGGGGGTAGGATTGATAGTAGAATGGATTGGACATTATTACCTTATGTACATATATGATGACACAACCTGTGTAACTCTACATCATGTACAACCAGAAGAAGGAGAAGTTATACTCCATTTATGTATGATGTGTCAAAATGCATTCTACTGTCATGTATAACTAATTGGGACAAATTAAAAAATAAGAAAGAAGTGCAGTACTGGTAGGAAAAACTGCTGCATCAGAACAGCAATGGCTTTTGAGGAAGTGGAGGTCACCCCGTAAGACCCTACAATCATGGGAAGATTCACTCTGGAGAACTGCTGGATTTGGTGTTCTGAGGCCTTGGGGCCTCAGTCCCAGAGAGAGACACCTAGTCATTTGACTTCCCTGAGCTTAATTGTCTTTATCTTTAAAATAAGGTTGTTGAGAAAATCACTGACCTAAGGTAAGCAATGCTGAGTAAACGCTAAAGCAACACAGGAATTTTTAGTTGCTGTAGCTGGTCATTCCATATATCCTCAGTCACAACAGTGTATGTCCCAGGCACTGTGCTGCATGGCAGAGACTTCTGACAGAAAAGATGTGACCTTCCCCCAAACACTTCCTTGAATGGTAACTACACAGCTCACTGTTTAGGAATAACATTCCTTAATAGTTCTGTGATAGTGTCTCAGCATAAGAGAAGCATTCCCAATTTTCTTCTCTTTAGAAGCTCGTATGCCACTTAGGGGATTATTTCAGCTTCTTCTCCCCACTTCCTTTCTTAAATAGCTTGCCTGTGAGTTTTGGTACCTCTTGTACCCTTTCTCCTATTTGAAAAAATATAGAGTTCTATGGTTCTATTTTGTTCCCTGACAGTAGCTCTGTAAAAGTATAATGGTCAGGATTAAAATGTTATTATTAGTGAAATATTTCATTTCTTCATGCAACCTATTATTCCCAGCAGCAGGGGAGATTCAGAGTTGTGTTTATCTGCAGGGCACATACAGAACAATATAACAGCATGCACTTTGTATTTCAGGACTGATTCAAGAAGGCGTAATAACTTTCCTATATATCCTCTAATCATGAAATGTGCTGTATTATCCTTGCTGTACAGACAGGCAAGGAGAGGTGCTGATAGCAAAAGCTCTGCAGTAGATATCTCACGCTAAGACTAGAAAGATAAGCAGAGTTTCGTGCTCCTAACCAAGATCTCTTCTTTATCCAGACTGCTTGTCATCCAAAAATACCTTCCTTATCCCTCCTGTTTAAAAATCAAATTTGTATATAAGAAATAATTTGGGAAGTTAAAGAATTAATATTGGAGGCTTGGTAAATCCTACAGCACATTAGATAAATTACACAAATCCACTGGCTATAGAGAACAGATATAGAATGACGTTATTGAACTACGTACAAAATAAAATATTTTCATTCCTTCCTGAATCCACATGATGACTTCCATCATCACATCATACTGTATTTCAACACATGAGGAAATATCATTTGGTTCTAAATTATTATGTTAAAATATTATCCAGGCATAAAAAAGATAAATACCACATGTTCTCATTCTATATCTGGAATCTAAAACAATCAAACGCACTGAAGCAGATAATAGAATGGTGGTTACCAAAGGATGGGGAAGGGAAGATGATGGTTGAAGGGGACTAGGCCACAGGCAGGGGAAATATGGTTTCAAATGGTGGGGTTTTGGGGGTTTTTTTGTTTGTTTGTTTGTTTGTTTGTTTTAAGATCTATTACACAGTTTGGTGACTCTAGTTAATAGTAATGTATTATACATTTCAAAACTGCTAAGAGTAAATTTCAAATGTCACCATAAAAATAAGCATTTAAGAAGATGAAGATGCTAGTTTTCTTGATTTAATTTTTCCAAATTATAGCCATAAATCATAACATGGATCGCAACTCATTAATATATACAATTATAACTTGTTGATTTATTTAAATTTTTAAAATAAAATTAAAACCAAAAGATTATGGAAAAATAAAATATCACTTCAAGTAGGAGAAATAGAAAAATAAAACAGAGAATGACTCCAACACTAAGATATACATACACATATCTAGAACAAATAAGATGAAAATGCATGTAAATGTCAAGTGTCTAAGTTCTGAGTTTTTGGGCAACTCTGAGTTTTCCTTATACATCTTTGAAGTTTCCAATTTCTCTATGATGAACACATCATAATATCTTCAAGTTTTGTACTTAGAAAAACGTTGCTTCATTACTTTTTAGCTTTTTTAACTTAACCAATGCTGATATAATCAGCTGCACATATCAGTTCTCAAAACAATACCTCAAATAGAAAAAAGAAATTACCACCCTGTACCATGTACAGCCAGAGGAAGTTGTATTCCATTTGTGTACAATGTATAAAATGCATTTTACTGTCATGTATAACTAATTAGAACAAATTTGAAAAATTTTTAAATAAATTTTTAAAAATTAAAGAAAAAGAAAACAGAAATTATCAGTTTGGTTTCTTTTATTTTGTTAATATTTATTTTTTAGTTTTAGGTGGATACAATATCTTTATTTTATTTTTTATGTGGTGCTGAGGATCAAACCCTATGCCTTACAAGTGCTAGGCAAGCATTCTACCACTTGAGTCACAACCCAGCCCCTTGGTCTCCTTTAAATATTTATATTACACAGTCCTGGAAGATGAGTGCATTAGTTCTAGTCTTTCCTCTCGATAGTAAGATGTCTAAACAAAGATCACATGACTTTATTGAAATAAAAGATAACTAACCTCCCTCTCTCCTTCTCTTTCTCTCTCTTCCTCTCTCCTGCCCTCTACCTTTCCATCTTCTTTATCAGCAGAAATACCATTAGCCAGTTTACGAGGAGAACAAGGTCCCCGTGGAGAACCTGGCCCAAGAGGACCACCTGGGCCCCCTGGCTTGCCAGGTCATGGGATACCTGGGATCAAAGGAAAACCAGGGCCACAGGGATATCCAGGAATTGGAAAGCCAGGTATGCCTGGAATGCCTGGAAAGCCAGGAGCCATGGGAATGCCTGGGGCCAAGGGCGAAATCGGACCCAAAGGGGAAATTGGGCCAATGGGGATCCCAGGACCACAAGGACCTCCAGGGCCTCATGGACTTCCTGGCATAGGGAAGCCAGGTGGGCCAGGGTTACCAGGGCAACCAGGAGCAAAGGGTGAGAGAGGACCCAAAGGACCACCAGGACCTCCAGGCCTTCAGGGTCCTAAAGGAGAGAAAGGCTTCGGGATGCCAGGCTTACCTGGCCTGAAGGGTCCTCCAGGTATGCATGGCCCTCCTGGCCCTGTCGGACTGCCAGGAGTGGGAAAACCAGGTGTGACAGGCTTCCCTGGGCCCCAGGGCCCTCTGGGGAAGCCAGGACCTCCAGGGGAACCTGGCCCACAAGGCCCTATCGGGGTGCCAGGGGTTCAAGGACCTCCTGGAATACCTGGAGTTGGAAAGCCAGGCCAGGATGGGATCCCTGGCCAACCAGGATTTCCAGGTGGCAAGGGGGAGCAAGGACTACCAGGGCTGCCAGGACCCCCAGGTCTTCCAGGAATTGGGAAACCAGGCTTCCCAGGACCTAAAGGTGACCGGGGTGTGGGGGGTGTTCCTGGGGCTCTTGGACCAAGAGGAGAGAAAGGACCAGTAGGTGCCCCTGGAATGGGAGGACCCCCAGGAGAGCCAGGCCTGCCTGGAATCCCAGGTCCCATGGGCCCTCCAGGTGCTATTGGTTTCCCTGGGCCCAAAGGAGAAGGTGGGGTTGTGGGGCCACAGGGGCCACCAGGTCCCAAAGGCGAGCCAGGGCTTCAAGGCTTCCCAGGAAAGCCAGGTTTTCTTGGTGAAGTAGGACCCCCTGGCATGAGAGGTTTGCCAGGTCCTATAGGGCCCAAGGGGGAAGCTGGGCATAAAGGATTGCCTGGGCTCCCTGGTGTTCCCGGGCTGCTTGGACCCAAGGGAGAACCAGGCATTCCAGGGGATCAGGGGCTACAGGGCCCCCCAGGTATCCCAGGCATTGCAGGCCCTAGTGGCCCCATTGGACCTCCTGGGATTCCAGGCCCCAAAGGGGAACCAGGCCTTCCAGGGCCTCCTGGGTTCCCTGGTGTAGGCAAGCCTGGAGTGGCAGGCCTTCATGGCCCCCCAGGGAAACCAGGTGCCCTCGGTCCTCAAGGCCAGCCTGGCCTTCCAGGGCCCCCAGGTCCTCCAGGGCCCCCGGGCCCACCAGCTGTGATGCCCCCTACACAACCACCCCAGGGAGAGTATCTGCCAGATATGGGGCTGGGAATTGATGGTGTGAAACCCCCCCATGCCTATGGGGCTAAGAAAGGCAAGAACGGAGGCCCAACGTACGAGATGCCCGCGTTTACTGCTGAGCTGACCGCACCTTTCCCGCCGGTGGGAGCCCCAGTGAAGTTTGACAAGCTGCTCTATAACGGCAGACAGAACTACAACCCGCAGACGGGCGTCTTCACCTGTGAGGTCCCCGGCGTCTACTACTTTGTATACCATGTTCACTGCAAGGGAGGCAACGTGTGGGTTGCTCTGTTCAAAAACAACGAGCCCATGATGTACACATACGACGAGTACAAGAAGGGCTTTCTGGACCAGGCATCTGGGAGTGCTGTGCTGCTGCTCAGGCCCGGGGACCGCGTGTTCCTCCAGATGCCCTCAGAACAGGCTGCGGGACTGTACGCCGGGCAGTATGTTCATTCCTCGTTTTCAGGATATTTATTATATCCCATGTAAAAAAAAAAAAAAAAAAAAAAAGAAAGAAAGAAAAAGAGAGATTTAATAGAAGACAAGAAAATGATGCAACAAAAAATTCAGATGAAAAACATAATTGCTTCAGAACATTTATATAGTTGGAAAGTTATATTTAAGTGAAAATTCAGACCATCATGTACAAATAAAAACTAAGATGCATGTTTAATACTCTGCACAGCAGCTTGTCATTGAAAACAATGGGATAGATTTATGTATCAAGTACTGACACTTGTGTTGTACCCACTGGAATCACATTAGTTGTCATATGTTATTTGCTCTCATGATAACCTGCTTATTCAGATCAGTCAACATGCCAGTACAAAAGATCATAGCTAACCAAAGTCACTCACTCATATTGTTTCCTTTAAAGTATTTATAAATATGCCTTAGGGAAATGTCAGTGATAACAGTTACATACCATATTTACTTTCAGAATTTCCTCTCCATCTGTGCAGATACGTTGCCATGGAATGTTCTGGGGAGTTCTGTAGTGTTACTGTCTCAGTGGGAGTCAGAGAGGGCCATAGAAACCTTAGTCCTTTGTAGTACTAGGGATATTTCTCTAGTGATAAAGGCTGGGGTTTTTTGTTGTTGTTGTTGTTTGTTTTGTTTTTGATCAATTAGAAGTTCTAGTCAGAATTGTATGTCTTGAGTCTGGAAAAAAAAATTAAGGAAGAGTACCATTGTCCATCTGTGCTGAGCACTGGAGTAGGATGCCAATGTGAGGCCAAGACAGAGCCCCACAGGAGCTAACAAACCAGTGGGGAGACATAAGCAGTGATTAACTCATTTATTCCTCAAAGAGTTCTTTTAGAGTTGTTCTGTGACTTATTTTGTTTTTTCTTCCCTCTGTGTAATTTCTACCAGGGCCTAACCAACATAAATACCTGGAAGCCATAAGAAAAAAAAAAAAGGAACCCTTCAGTAAACTTTTTAGCTTTATGGAATATTTATTATTGATAAGAATTATCAATTGAGTTTACATGCATTAAAAATTTGCCTCCTTTGCCCATACACACAATCACAGTGAGGTTTTAACCATAGAGATATTGATATTCTTTAGTAGCTGAAGAATATCTCCCTGTTTAGTATGTAAGCAAATTCACGTGTCATCTGAGGTTTCAAATCAATTTCCGAAATTCAAGCCATTTTTTATTGGGGGAAAAATTCAAAATTCATAGGAAAATAAATTTCTATTTTAAAAAAGGTAATTAGGCAGTTTGATATTTTAAAAGAGGTGATGTTTCTAGGTGTAGATACAAAAAAGGAAAATAACTGTCTCTTCAGCAGCAATCTGTGGAAGAGATATCCAGAATGTCATAGGGCAACAATGGCCCAGGCCATCTATGTGGCCCTTTACTTAGCACAAGTCAACAAATAAAACAAATTTGAAAGGGAGACATAAATAGTTGTCCAGGTTTTCATTTAGGCACATAGTAGGTGATTTAAGCATTGCTTCAAATCTGCTATTAACTGTGGATGCTGTTAGACACATGGGGAAATGATATGGAGCTGTAATAGTGAAATCATATATTTTTTCTCAAAAATTAATTGAGTACATAGTTATAGATGGGAAAATACACAAATAAAAAGCACAAGGAAATGTGTCTATGGAAAATTGCAATCATTTTTGGACTGGAGGTGTAACAGTACACAAGGCCCTGGGATTAATCCCAGTACCATAAAATAATAATAATAATAATAATAATAATAATAATAGAAATTATTTTTACTATCACAAAAGTTCTTCTCTTGGTCAAATATGTATCTTTTCCCTAAGAAGTATACAAGCAACATTTCTTCTCAGTTTTTTAAAAAGAGAAATTAGTTCGTTATCCCCAAATTTCTTATTCACTGCTAATTAGATAACACAATTTTCCCATTAAAAAGATATCCTACCCAACCTTCATTTTCAAAGTGGACAGCATATATGTGGCCATATGTCCTTTGAGTTGGTCTTGAGGATGCTGGTTTGGGGCTGGTGACTTTGGAAGTAACTGGGTTCCTTCTGCTAATAGGTACACTGACATGGCTTGGAGGCAAGTCAGACCAGCTGATCTGTAAAATTGTATTTATCTGTACATGTATGGACTCTTAATTTCCATCAAGCAAGGGAGAAATTATCTCTTTAAAAACAAATTCACTTTTCAAAATATCTTCCAACTTATTTATTGGTTGTTACGCAATTGCCTATATATATAGAGAGAGATAGATAGATATATAGATATTTGTATGTGTGTATGTTTATTATCAGGCATATGCTTCTAACTTTTAGATGGAGGAGGAGCAAAATTTATGCCAGATACTGTGTATTCTACAATGGTGCTAATCTAAAGCTAAATGATACTTCATTTAATTTAAAACAGAGTTTTAAGTAATTATCTATGTACCTGTGTTTCCCTTTTGAGTGTTGCACATCATGTTAACACATTAATGTAAAAGCAGATAAAATAACTGCATGTTCTAAAGTCTAGGGATAATAGTATGATCTCTATTTCATTCAAAAATATCTAAAATTTTTCCATGTGAAATGGACCAAACTTGCATTTTCTTATTTAACTACAGAGTTTTAATGCAGCATGACATCCTCCAGGGGAAAAGAGTGTCTGTAGTGGGTGACAGTCCTCACATATTTTACAAAATATAATGAATGGTGAACAGACTGGTAACTTGTTTGAGTTTCCATGATAGATTTGAGATTTAATGGCAAATCATTTTTATTTAAATTTTTGTACTGATTTGAAAAAAAAAGTCATTAAATATCTTTGAAAGTATATTTCTCATCTTGTTCATGTTGCTCTTTGATGATGTATTAACCTGGTAAGTTCCCTCACATATACATTGTAGCAAACAGCAGCTGAATTAGAGGCTGAACAGGACAATTTATTATTCCTCTTTGACATAACAGCTCTGGATTTAAGCAGTCCAGGGCTCAATGGTAACCCAAGCAGGGGCCCAGTTTCCTTCTATCGTGTTTCTCTTCCACCCATATATGTTGCCCTCCTCTCCGCAGTCTAGGATGGCTAACATCAGACACAGCCCAGCTAATGGGAGGGTGGAGAAAACAGAAGGGGAAGGTGTGTTTTTTGTCTTGAAAAACTCAAACTAACCACTGCATAGAGCACTCCCTCCCACATGCATTGCCCGGAATGTAGTCACCTTGCCAGCGAGCTTCGAGATAGTGTGGGAAACTGAAGATTTATTCTGGGTAACTCCATGCCCAGCTCATACCCAAGAGGGTACTATTAAGAAGGAAAAACAGATAATAGGACACAGTTAACTGCTGCATGTGCAACATACATCAGCTAAGAAAGGACTGCCACAGTCCTCTCTTCTCCCTCTCTTCCGCCACATCAGACCCACATATTGGAAAGGGAGATGGTGCTGCGTGTAGTCACAGAGCAGAAATCAGACCTGTTTCAAGAATCTAAAAGTCTCAGTAAGTATCATCAATAAGGAAATAACTCTTTCGTGATGATAATCATAAAGCCCTGAGTGACTGTAACTTATCACATCTATAATATGAGAAAGGGACTGTTTAAATCATTGGGCGGGCAGGTATGTACCACCAGGTAACTTCTTTACACCTTCAGTGTGCAAGCTCAAGACCACAGCTTCCATTCCCATATAGCCCAGTGGCTCTATTTTATTCCAGAACTATTTTTGGAAGGTCTGTCATTCGGAAAACACAACCATCACATCTTGTTGGCTTATGTAGGTAGATAGAAGGTTGAGCACAGGAGACACAGCAGGGAGGATTAATGGTTAGAATTCAGAATGCTGGACCAATGGGGCCAAACCATCATCACTGTGACGGAATAAAGAAACTCAAAATCGACATCATATTTACAGTACGTGTGTAGTAGCCCTTTACGTTAAACACAAAGTAGCCCCTATTGTGTGCCTGGTACACTACCTGATCTGGGGCATAAAAAGCAATAGAAAACATAACCCTTCTCCTTAAAAATATTATCTTCTGCTTGGAGGATCTCAAGATGTTTGTTTTAAAAGTCAAAAGAGCAGGGTGATGTGAAGGTGACTGAATGCATACAAACTAGATAAATCCAGAAAGAGAAAGACTGATCCATGCTGCCCTTCCTGGGAGGACCACTCTGTCTTCCTGCTGTATAAACTCTTCCTCGCCCCTCTGGACACAGAGGAAGCTCTTCCTTCCCTTTGCACCAACCCTATTGCCTAGATTGAGGCAACTTCTCCCCACATCACCACCCTGCTTTGTATGTTCTATCCCTTCACTATTTTTTTTTCTGCTCTGTCCATGGCTATAATTAAAAAACATGATTCACCGGGGACAGGCACTTCATTTTTTCATCTTTGGATCCACACCCATCTCAGAGTAATGGTCCCAACACTAAGGTTGAGGAAATAATGAATTTCACAAGGATGCTGTGGGAAAGGGTCCTCAGTGGAGGTGAGGTTAGATTGAATGGTAGGAAACTCCCTTCCAGCTCTGGCATTCCATGATTTTACAGAGGCTAACTATGGGATAAAACTTAATTTCAGCTGGGCACTGTGGCACATGCCTGTAATCTCAATCAAGAGGCTGAGGCAGAAGGAAGGATTGTGAGTTCAAAGCCATCAGCAACTTAGAGATGCCCTATGCAACCTCACTGAGACCCTGTCTCTAAATAAAACATTTAAAAAGGGCCGGGGATGTGGCTCAGTGGTTAAGCACCCCTGGGTTCAATCCCCGGTATCAAAAAAAAAATGTAATTTCAAATAATTTATTGGAGGTGGTTGCTTAAAGAAATGAAGAATTTGAATAGAGGAAACATGAAGGTATTCCAAGAGGAAAGGAGAAATAGCCTTTCCTTCTCTAAGAGGAGGAAATTGGTGTGGGGAGGGCTGGGGCAGTGCTAAGTCAGGTGTTGGGAAGGGAAGATCAGGGGAAATGTCTCAACTAGATTAGAGCCTCTATCCAAGGACTAGTGAAGGAAGTTGAATAACCAAAGGAGGGTCAGGTGATCCAACACTTTACACATAGGCAAGAGATGTTTCCATCTTATCTAGTATGAAATCAGATGATATTGTAGGTCGTTAAGTGAGAAAGTGGTGTAAAAATCAGTATTTTAGTTTTTAAAAATGTTGATGATTGTATGATGACAACATCAGAAAAGGGAAGGTACACATTGTAAAACCACTTAGGAGACCAGAGCAGCTTTCCTTCAGGAAGACAATAACGGGTTGTGGCAAAGTGAGCCCTAGAGGAGCGTCTGGAGGGAGGAGAGTCAGACAGATTCCGTTTCAATTCCCAGTCTAATGCCAAAGACTGAGAATTGGAATAAAGAAGAATGGAAAAGATGAAAGACTGCACTTAACTTGGGGACAATACTGGACAACCTGATAAGGGGGAAGGAAGCTTGACCCCAAAGCAATTTCCTCCCATTTATAAACTTAGAAGGCAGGAGGGGGTCATCAATGCAATTGGGTAGTCCACGAGTAGAGCCCATCCAGATGAAACAAAGGGAAGACACCTGGTTTCTTTAAAAAAGTGTTGAATTTGGCCTGATGGTGAGTATACTGTTACCTAGGGCTTAAATAACAGAAATTCACTTCCTCAGTCTGGAAGCTAGAAGACCTGAAGGCAAGAGCAAGGTATCCATAGGGTTGGTTTCTTCCAAGGTGTCTCCTCTTGGTTTGGGGATGGCTATCAGCTCCTTCACAGGGTCCCAATCACCATTATAAGGATATTAGTCATACTGGATTAGGGTCCACCCTTGTGATCTCATTTTAATTTAATGACCACTTTTGGGGAGGCTGTTCCAGGGATTGAACTCAGGGGCACTAACCTCTGAGCCATATCCCCAAGTCCTATTTTGTATTTTATTTAGAGACAGGGTCTCGCTGAGTTGCTTAGTGCCTCACTTTTGCAAGGCTGGCTTTGAATCATAATCCTGATGCCTCAGCCTCCCCAGCTGTTGAGATTGAAGGTGTGAGCCACCATGCCGAGATAATGGTCTTTTTAAAGCCATAGTTCCAAATACAGTCACATTTTGAAATACTGGGAGTCCAGGATTCAATATATGCATTTTGAAGGGTACAATTTAGCCCACAACATGTCTATGCTCCAGATGTGCCTTTGGTTGGAAGAGAAAGGGAGAGTGACCTAGTGGCCTCTTGTGGTAAGAGGTAGAAAAAGGTAGCAATATGTTTTACCACATTTTGGAAGTTTTTCCCCCAAATGGTTCAATGGACTCTTAAAATGCAAGTTTTCATGCTTGTTTCATATCAAGAATAACAAAAACATCCCCCAGAGTAGTCTTTTTCTTTTAGCAAAGAGTTGTACATCATTTCTGATGTTGCTTCATTTTCAAAATCAATCCTTTTGCCAGGATAAATTTTATTCTCATGTTATTTTTTATAAAGGGAAAAACCTATTCATGAGTTTTATTATCAGGGGGAAAACTATTAATACCTCAGAAAAGTATAATAAAATTTACATTAAAGCAGGACATATTATCCCACTTTAACAAGTAATCCAGAAGCTTCTTGTGTGATGCTGAAACGCAGGACCATTTCATCAAAGTTTCCTTTGAGGCACTCACAAGCTTTCCAAAGATTTTTTTCTTTACTATCTTACTATAAGTAAAAATAGATTTTTTATTAAAATCAAAAGCACTTCTAAATTAAAGTTTCTAAATCCCATGGAGAGCTATGTTTCATATGCTTTGTTAAAACCATCAAGACCTAAAAATTAATTTTATAATGAACATAGCTGTGTCAGTTTTCCTTTGACAAGTGAGTGGCTGGCAGCAATGTTCCCATCTGCTCTTCATTCGTGGGACAAGAGACACAATGGGAAAAACTGATGGAACATTTACAGCTCTCTCCTTGCCTGCTTCAAATAATACGTCTTTCCTCAACAAAGATGATAATGTCCTTTTCATTTACTCTGCCAAACAAGAGTCACCAATACAGAAAATGTATAGTCTGGGGTCAGACTATCCAAGAATAAATCTTAGTCCTCTGTTTACCAGCTGTGATACCCTCAGTCAATTACTTAACCTCCCTAAATTTCACTTTTTGCAACTGTAAACTAGTAAATGATAATAGTAACTATCTTCCACAGTGGTTGGACAGCTGAAATAGTAGGGTGTGGTTTGCAGGTAGATTTTTGCAGTACATTTACTGAATGTACACCATCAACCAGAAATTGCTTTAACAAGTTTCCTACATTACCTTAGTTACTCCTGTAATAACTCTAATATTAGTCCACTTTACTAACAGGGTTAGGGTTAGAGAAGTGAGGTATAGTAACTTGTCTGAGATCTAATGACAATGCCAGGATTTTAACACAGGTGCCTGGCTTCATGGTCTATGGTCTTAGCTATCACACCCTATGGCCTCAAGGAAGGAGACAAAAGTCCTCAGCTGTCTTAGAAGCAAACAACTGTAATGAGTGTTTGAAAGATGACAGAGCTCAGTTGTTTTATGGTCACTGTCCTTACCAGAATCAAGTGAAATAACTACCAACAGGGCTGGGGTTGTTGCTCAGTTGTAGAGCACTTGCCTAGCATGTGTGAGGTACTGGGTTTGATTCTCAGCACTGCATATAAATAAATTAATAAAGGTCCATCAACAACTAAGTGTGTGTGTATATATATATAAATATATATATAACTAGATACAAGATGATATTAGCAGATATCATGGTAACTGCCCCATCCCTTAAGTGATATGGGGACAGCTGATTTTAAAAATGGAAGGCACCACCATAAACTTAACAGAAGGGCTACTATCAAAACAAATAAATTAGCA